AAAAAAAAAAAAAAAAAAAAAAAAAAAAGTAACGGGGGGCTGCAGGGTTAAACAACAGTGATCAGAGCGATGACGGTGGTGCAGCTCCAGCCTTGCCAGCGAGGTCTACGTGAAATAGGGAACGTGTCAAGTAAAGGCGAGGTGGTCACGGAACTGAGTTTATTGGCTGTCAGTCAATACACATAATAACAAGAGTGGGGACGAAGAAGCCAAGTCTCAGCTGGGAGCTAAAGTCTTCAGTGCCTAAAGTGGAAAAACCCGGGGTACAGGCAAATGACCGCGTGAGGAGCAGAAAGGGAGGCTCAGCAGAACACACGTGCTCCACGGAAGCAGAGGGCTGTGTCGGGGGGAAGGTCGGGAAGCCGTGGAGCCCAAGGAAATCACTCTCTATCTTCCAGCCTGCTGAGGGATGGGTGGTCAAGGAAGGGAAGTCTCGTCCACTTGAGAAAGTGCAAGGGAAGCAGAACCCTGGGGTGCAGCCAGGTTTCATCGGGGAAGTCATGGGAAACAAACACTCCAGAAGTTCCTGGAGATGGAAGGGTGACCTGATGACCCCAGCACAAGGTCCAGTGGGCATGGGGATGGCTGATTTTGTTTTTGCTTTTGTTAGTGGGGCAGGGAGAGAACCAGTTAGGGCACATGTAGACACACAAATCAGTCTGGATAGTAATGGACAACAAGGGAACCTTCTAATTCACTAGCCACTGGGGTAAAATACTATTACTCCTACTATTAAAACAATAATAATAGCAATTATGATTTAAACAGTTGTACAAAACTAGCAGCAGAAACGTAATGGTGGTTTTATGTTTGGCTTGTGCTAAGTACTTCCCATGTAGCCTACCAAGAACCCCATGATCTTCCAAACCTCAAGTCAAATTTTATAATTTCTATGAAAACTATAAGCACTGCAAGTCAGTGATCATAGTAAAGAGGGATTCAGGGCTTTGAAGCCATTCTGGCAGTCTCTGAGAAGGCAGCAGATAAATGGTTTTAGAGCTGAAATCCCAAATAATTGGCTGAGTGGCATGGAAGATTTGGGCAGCTATTTTATGAGGGGATACATGTTGCTGTACTGTGATCAGTCTTCCTGCCCTAGAAAAAAGCAACCCCCTCCACCCAAAGTTTACCTGGTAGGAGGGCCACTATGCCTGGAAGTGGGCTTCATATACTGCACTTCATTCCTCTGCCTTTTTGCTTAATTGGCTAAAAAATTCCTAATCATCCTTGAAGACTTAATTTCATTCATTCATTTGTTCATTCACTCAACAAATATGTGAGAGCAATTACTATAGCCTACAGACTGTTCCAGACACTGGGGTTACAATTATACCTACATACATGGATACACAAACATCCCCCACGACTTACCCACCACTCTTCAACCTCTGTGCTGGTAGCCCCCTGCAGCACTCCCAGGGCACATCATTCATTCGTTAGTTTTTCCAGTAACATGCTGACAATTGGACTGCATATCTCTAGTTCAGTCTTCTCTTCAGCCATCCTTTTCAAGTCTAAGTGAGATCACTTACCTTTCTGCTCAGAGTTTCTCAAAGTCTCCCTAATTTACCCAGAGTAAAAGCTGAAGTCCTTACAATTTTTGGCCCTCTTAGAGGATGCCACCTTGAAAATCTCATCTTCTGTGTTTTCCTTCACCCAGTTATTACAAGAACTGTAGGAAGTATCTAGTCAAAGAGTAGATGGGCTGATACATCCCACTGACAAGAGAACTAACTTCTTGTTCTACTATTGATATGATTTTATATAGTAGGGGAGCAGGTAGACTTTCTAGATTCCCTACTGATTCTTCACTGGGAAAGAGGGACTTGTCTTATACATGCATGAGATTATATGGTAAAGTGATTGTAGTTATTAACTTATTGTGATAATGAATTTTTTTAAATACAACATTTTCCAAGGGAAAAATATATCACATTTTGCAAGTTCTTGGAAAACTGTGGTGGCCATCAGGACTTTATTCTTACCCAGCTACAATTTTAAGTTGTAATCAATGACTGTGAACTGTTCTATACATTATAGAACACCCCAAAAAACAACAAAGATTTCAATCTAAATACAGTTACATTTTATATTTATTTTCAGATACACTAAATCAGTGCTTGAGGATAACACACTCCTGAATAGTTCAAGAATCACTGACCTACAGAATTGCAGAGCTACATCCTATTGCATTACAGGCAAAACTAAGCTGCAAACTCAGGGCCCTCTCCTTTCCATCTTGTGGGTGTGTTTTGTTTTTGTTTGTTTGCATTTTGTAAGGTTATGTAACTGATAACCATGGATGCAAAGATAGCACAAAAACAGTAACAAACTTATGATCATAGATTCAAATCAGAAACTCGTAGTTTTATCCCTATCAGGTTCAGATAATTTAGCATTAGAAAATCTATTAATGCAATAAAGTACACTAACATTAAATGAATAATAACCTGTTAAGTAACCCAAATAGATATAATATAAAATGTGAAACTTTGGTTCAAAATGATACATGGATACCATTTTTTGTTGTTATGTTTTTTGTGAAGAACCTTGCTACAAAATGCATATTCAGCATGTTTTGCTAAATTGTTCTGGTGGCTTAAATGAAATATTCCCTCCTTGATATGTTAAGTTCCTTATCTGGTATACCCAAGTTTGTGAATGTGCTTCCCACATTTCTCCTTCTCTATTTTAACAGAACCCCAAATTTCACATACTGGAGGATCCCAAGGAAAAAAAAGAAAATCTTATACTCAATTCTGAGAGGCCAACTAGGGTCTTAACGAAGACCAGCCACTCACAAGGAAAGGATCAAGCTGTGGGTAAGCCCACAGGGTTACCAACAATTAAGTTGACTGAAAAACATCGAGGAACTAAGACCTTTTTCATGAAGTTCAGCGAAATGAATTGGCCATTGGCCATTCACCCTTTAAATAAAAGTTTCATCAGAGACAACAAATGGAAGAAAATTGATAAGACACAAGAGAAACGGAGGTCTTTCCTCCATGAGTTTTGCAAGAAATACAGTGGGGTGAGTCGTCCTCAGTCACATCTTTTTCATATGGTGTCCAGGATGTATGTAGAAGATAAACACAAAGTCTTATACTGTGAAGTGCCCAAGGCTGGCTGTTCCAACTGGAAAAGAATTCTGATGGTACTAAATGGACTGGCTCCCTCTGCATACAACATTTCTCATGATGCTGTTCACTATGGGAAGCATTTGAAAAAGCTAGATAGCTTTGACTTAAAAGGGATACATACTCGTTTGAATACCTACACCAAAGCTGTGTTTGTTCGTGACCCCATGGAAAGATTAGTGTCAGCATTTAGGGACAAATTTGAACACCCCAATAGTTATTACCATCCAGTATTCGGTAAAGCAATTATAAAGAAATATCGACCAAATGCCTGTGAAGAGGCATTAAATAACGGATCTGGAGTCAGATTCAAAGAGTTTGTCCACTACCTGCTGGATTCCCACCGTCCAGTAGGAATGGACATTCACTGGGAAAAGGTCAGCAAACTCTGCTATCCGTGTTTGATCAATTATGATTTTGTAGGCAAGTTTGAAACTTTGGAAGAAGATGCCAATTACTTTTTACAGCTTATTGGTGCTCCAAAAGAGCTGAAATTTCCAAACTTTAAGGATAGGCACTCTTCTGATGAGAGAACGAATGCTCAGGTCGTGAGACAATATTTAAAGGATCTGACAAGAACTGAGAGACAATTAATCTATGACTTTTATTACTTGGACTATTTGATGTTTAATTACACAACTCCAGTTTTGTAGCTTGTATTCATTTTCTAAAGCCCTATTATTTACTTCATGATGCTGGCTTCAAATCAGCTAACCCTGATTTCCTTCTAATTGTCTATATGAGAGAAATTTAACTAAGTGTAGTTGTCTTGATAGGATGAAGATTTTTACCAAATAGTATGACACCAATTGGCACAAAGTTCTAGGAAAATTACCTAACAGAGACATGTAAACAACTTGAGTTGCTCGAAAATGTTTGGGAAAGAGCTGCTTTTACATTACAGGTTATATTATAGAAGCAATAACCTCACCAGCAGCGACATTAGCTGCAACAGCTTCTTGCAATGGTAGGAAAAGGGATCTAAAATAGCATGAGTGGATGTCTACATCCTGGAATGTGTTGTCTAAAGTGCATGGATATATTTTTAGCAGTCTGTGGCATATTAATCAAACACTGGATAGTTTTCTTATACCCTGGAAATCTTTCTGTCAACTATAATGGTAAATCCATTTGAAATGATATGTTAAGCTTAGGCATTTTACGTTAGATTAGAAAGCACTGTGTGATTTACAACATGAGACCATAGCAGAATAAGCAGATGAAGCTGGCTATGTATGGCTTTTTATATCCAACAGGCTGATTAAAAATGCACAACATGCTAAGATCAAAGCAATGGAAGCAACCTTCCTCCTCCAGAAAAAAACCATAAGGGAATTGATTGTTTTCTTTTGAGCCCTCTCTGCAGGTACAAAATGAACATAACCACTAAAGGACTTAGTTTCTGAAGGAGGCCCTTAAAAAGTTTAAGCCTCATCAGATATAAATGTGCACCTAATTCTGGTTTAATTGGGCAGGGGGGAAATTGTTTCAGGGTGGAATAATCATCAAAAACAAAAGTTGCCACTCTGAATATAGACCTCAAACAATAACAAAGTTTTATAAGAATTTTATTTGAATCAAAGCATCATGTGTTTAGCTTTATATGTGGATTGTACACCAAGAATAGCTTTTGTTTGCAGGCTAATTATTCAGCTTGGGAATGACTTTTTAAAAACGAAGATACCACTTCAAAGATAGGTTATGTTCTGGAAAATAAACATAACAAGAGCCCCTAGAAATGCTTTTAATAGGCTTATACATAAAGAAATTAGGGTATTTTCTTTTTAAGTTAAAATATTCTATACTAATCAAGTCGAATACCACTGCATTCAAATATTAAATCAAAATCTTTGGAAAATAGGACCATGTGTCACCCTTATAAGAAGTTACAATGCATTTTGGAAATTTTTTCCATGGGACTCTAAATCTAAAGACACATTTGGGTGGGAAATTTATTTTAATTGGTCAACTATTAACCTAACTTAAGCAAATCTCATGTCATTCAAACCCTGTTTAAATGCATTCCTTGAACATTTTCCTCTTCCCAAGCTACCATTTTTTCTCATTAGTAAATATTCAGTAATGTCTGTCAAAGAAGAGTGGGTATTAATATTAGAATATTAATAGACCAAGATGGTTACAGTTGTACTTATCTCATTTTGATTTTCCATTTTATGACTGAGTGTTCATGAATTGCTTCACTCTGCATTGTGTCTCCCAGGGAGTAGGTAACTGCAACGGGCTGCCAGATCCTGAGAAGCCTTATGACCCAACCTTTCACCGCTTTTCCACTCCATTTACTCTTGCCTCTAGACTGTACGTGTAAGCTGTGCTCCCTGTCTTAGAGGACTTTTACTATAGAGAATCTAAACTATATAATTTAAATTTTGCTAGGGTGAATTCCTGGTAACTTAGAAACATTGAAATTATCTTTTTATGGAGAGAGAGAGAGAATAAAAAATATGCCAAGAAGCCTGACACATTATTCCTAAACTACACAAAACTGGTTTTAGATGGGACCTGCTATAAAGTAGAGAGGTAATTTTTTCAAAGTAATTCCTAAAGACATGTAAGAAACAAAAAAATCCTTTCTCTTAGTAACTTTGGAAAGAAAAAAAAATGGAAACAAGGATCTTATCTCTCTTATTAGCTTTTCTAAGGCACTTGAGAGAACCAGACATAGGTAAACATTCATGTATGTAAACAGTCATATAAATGAAGACTCCTATATGCATGCATTTACAGGACTGTTCAGCATTGGGGTGGGGAAGGAAGCAACAGGCAGTGTTCCCTGCCAAGGCGGTTCTGTGCCTGCCTGCATGTGCCCCCCTCCTCACCCTTTCCACCCACCTGTGTTCCCATCAGCGGTCTGTCCTTCAGTCATTCTTTCCCTGAAGACTCTGATGCCAGCTGACATCCTGTGTGTTTGGGAGTTCCAGAGGCCATGTGTTACAAAGGTTTTACAGAGGAAGGATACACTTTTTATGTACCTCCTCTTCCTCTCCAATGACCTCTTTTCCTATAGGGCCAAAGAAGCCAGTCACCATTCGGGATTCCCTGTCAGGCTAAGTACTCACACTGTTTTTCTCTCCTGGATTATGCTTTGCAGACCAGCTCACATTCCCCTTTGTCATCCTGCCTGGGTACATACCCCGGTGTGAGCATCCCTGCTCCTTTGGACAGTCACAGTTTCATGGGTGTAGATTCCTAAAGGCAAGTGACCAAATCTGGACTGACTCACCTTCCGGATGCCCCGTGCTCCCATGTCAACAGCAGCAGCTTGAGGTGTGGTTGTAAGTCCTCTAATTAAACCCTAAGAATCTTATTTATTTTTACAGGCAGCAGTAACAAGCTGGCATGCCCCTTCACTCTGTTATTCCTCTGTCTGGAGTTATTATTAGAGTAATAAGTTGGCAATTAAATCCAAATTCACAGTTATTTAACGTAGTGAACTACATATGGATATGCTTTACTGATGTGATTGTGCCCAGAAACTACCATAACATTCAATGGAAATGTATGCACAGGACACCTAACTTTCTGATTTTCTCATGTGTGTTTAGAAATATCCATCGTCAATGGAAATGTAGGGCAGCTCACTAAATCCTCTGACTTCGTGATCTATAAAATATTATCTAGCAATTCAAGAACTACTTAGACTCCATTTATAATTACAGAAAAAAACTTTTCCACTTTATTCATGAATTACTATTGTTCAAAAAGGTGCTAGATCTTAAAATATATAGTGTTTAGCTGAAGGGAATATATAAGCAGCTGCAGGGAATTGCGACTATACATTCCCCTTGCAAAGATCACTTGCAGAGTGAGTAGAACTTGGAATTTGTAGGCTGGGCTTACAGTAAACACTTCCTTACTATGAGTCTCCACCTGACCCACTGGGACGCCTTCTGCCTATAGGCCTTTGTGGAATTGGGTGAAGCAAAAAATGCCCCTGGCCCACATCCCCACCAGGCTCTAAGGAATAGTTGGCCAAAGGCCTTTAATAGTAGCTCGACCACCTGAGAACCTTAGACCAGGGCTGACACAGTGTAGTCCTGCCCTTACTGTCACAGCCTGTCCACCCCTAACTTAATCATTATAATATTCATGATCATAGTCATAATCAAACATTTATTCAATACTTAGTGCCTTATATGCATTATTTAATCTCTATAGTCAATCTAAATTAGGTGCTATTATAGCCCCCCCCACCACCAATATATAATAAAGGAAACTAAAGCAGAGTGTAGTTGAGTAATGTACCAAAGAAATACAGAATTAAATAGGGGACCAAGATGAACCCAGGCCCCAAATACCGCTACCAGACTCTCTTCTTTAAGTATTATAGACTTAACTTTTTTTTTTTTGCTATCAGTGTGTATTTAGCTAGTTGGTTATCACATTTCAAATCAGCTTATCCCTTTATTCTTGCTGAGTTAAACTGACAGATTCAAAGGTTTTTTAAGACATTAGGATTTATTCCTCTCTGCCTTTTTTGAATTCCCAGTCCATCCTGGGACACAATGTTTTTAGAAAAGGAAAAAGCCCCTGGAACAAATCTAGCCTGCTGAAAGTGAAATGCAGCCCAAGGGGGAGGCAAGCCAGCCAGTCCTCTGCACATGGGCACTGGACGGCCTCTGAAGATCAGCCACAGTGCAAGCGCCGTCACCACTGAGACACCGAGCAGCTGTGTGTGGCTCCTTCCTGAGTTCTCATCCCCAGTCACAGTTTGATGGGTAGAGAACCCTAAACTGACTTGGGAAAACTGTACCCAAAAAATGAAGCAGGTTGACTTAAACCAATTGAGAAACACCATGAAAAAAATCAAGATAAGTAAGCGCCCAGCTAGGAGGGGACAGGCTTCCTGGGCCTGCACACGCTCTACCCGTGCGAAGCCACCTCTGAGGAGCTCACTGTTGCCTCACACCACCTAGTGCGCAGAATTGCCAAGCCACACACATCACAGTTCCTCCCAAGGTCGTATCCCTCAGGGACTCAGATCCATGTAAGCCATCATCTCTCCCGTCTCTAAGCCTCTGCTCAAGTCTCGGCTCTATTCGAAATACTCTCCTCTCTCCATATCTGGACATTCATCTCATGCTAACTCACCAAGGAATCTCTCAGCTTATTCCATTTTGAAATAAAATCATTTTGTGAGCATTCGGATCAGTGGAAAAAGGCAAAATGCTTTTCTCCTGATGGGAGGCTCATTAGATTCTTCCCTTACCGGTGACGTAGGCATTCCTTCCCCTCCTTTGTTTCCTTCATTAACTTATTTATCCATTTGCTGTATCCCTCTTTGTAGGAATATACAATTTCCATTTCATCAGAATACATCTAAGGTCATCCCAGAGGAAGGGAACTGTGTCCGTTTAATTCACTTTTCACATTTCTGGCAAAGCACTGCATGGAAAGAGTTACTTTAATAAATGTTTTTGATGATATAGTTTAAAGGTTCCGCTATAGCTTTTCTTAATGTTTAATATGTGTATTTCTACCTTATGACTTTCAGGCATTTATGGGGTCAGTGGATCTAAGGAGAAGGAGCTAGGGTAGGACCTTGAGGAAGTGACCCTAACCTAAAAGCAGAGCTGCAGACACAGCAATCTCTTACATTCCTAAAGTGACATATATGCTTATTAAGTTTTCATAAGACATGTTGAAAAAATACATGATTCTGGTTAATGTAGAGCCATTTACTGAGCACCTACTAGGCAACTGACACTGGAAAAAATACTTGGTATACATTCATTCAGTGACGTGGAGGATATGTCTAGTCCTTTCCTGAACAAATGAGTTAGGTATCATGCCACCCACCGTTTTATAAATGGGAATAGTGGAGTCATAGGGGTGTCAGGACTAGCCGCAGAGCCAGCTTCCTGCTAAGGTCTCTCTGGCTTCAAAGCTGAGACCATACACAGCAGCCCACGGGCCAGACTGGGTCAGAGATAACATTTGGTTTGGCCTATAGTGCATTTTATTTACTATTGGAACTAGTTGCTGATGTTTCAAAATCAGGTCTCTTGCATCACGGGCAGGAATTTCTGCACACATACCCCTGCATTGCACATGCCCACCTAAAAATAGTAGGGCAGAACCTAGATCAGCCCCCTAGAGAAGCCAGAGAGCTCTTGTTCATGCTCCCTGCCTAACCACCATCACCCATGTCCCTTCTCCCTCACCTGGCCGGGCCCTACGTGCCCCACCTTCCACCCCTGCTTTGGAGTGTGTGTTTTCTCATCCACCAAGCTCCCAAAGGAAAAGCACTCCCTGAACATTTTCTTGGACCATATTTGTGTGAGGCAGTCCATGAGGTTGTCACATTCTTACTTTCCTTATCCTCACTCAGAATGCTGCTTGCCCCCTGGTCTTATGCCCAATGGGGTTACCAAACAATATTTCCTTGTTTGAGGAAATCTCTTTTGACCGACAAAAAAGATGTGAGAGAAATCCAGTACCTTTCTTTGGCAACCTTCTGTCTTGGCAACTGGGCCACTTTGGCAAACTTCGCCTTGGCCACAACATCCCTTCCCACCCTCCTCAGAGATGAGTCACGTTCCCAGGCCCTCGGAAGCTCAGTGTCTAGAGACAAACTTCTTCCCACTGAGGCACCCAGATGGCTATTCCATGATCTTCCTTCATAAGCTCCTGTTTTCAATGTGTCCCCACCCTTCCTGAACTCTGAAACTGCCTATTTCCCAGCTTTCTCTGAGGATCTCCCCGTCTGGCTCACAACTCCTCTCCACCACTTCTTGTGACTAACCTGGGGGACGTTAGCATTCCCAGGGGCTCATCACTATTCTTGTGCTCTAACGACCTCTTTCTTTCACTTCAACTTGGAGACGAGGAGAAAACAGAAACACAGCCCTGGTAAGAAATAGCCATTGTCCCTAAAGAGCAGAAAACTTCTGGCAAATGCTGGAGTACTTCATTTTATCTGTTTATTTCCTCAAAATATTTCCAAAGTTTAGAAAAATGTTCTTCAGAAATATTATGAACCAAAGTGGACTTAGAATGCTGCAGTAACTACCAACTTAAAATGACAGTATTATTAGAAGACTGTAATTGTCCTTAGGAAAAAAATAACCCCGATCTAGTTCATCCATTTCTCAAAAAATAGTGACTGGACCACCGGTATCAAAGTTATCCAATTTTGTGTTCAAACAGATTCCTGCACCCCACCCAAAATGTGCTGAAATTAGAACCTCTGTGAAACCCACTTGGGAATTTTTTAACCATCTCCTGGGATGAGTTTTTTACATAGCAAAGTTCGAGCACCACTCGTGTGTATGTGATTCTTTTTAAATCCTGGTTGATCATAGGTGATGACAAAGCCTGCTCTCTTCCTTCCGTGACTTTGTTGAAAAGCTAAAGACTCTCAGCTCAGAAATGGGTCAGAGGGTGTTGGCACCCCCGTCCTCCGTGGGATTCTGACCCAGGCTGAAGCAGAAACTTGGCCCCTAAGATCTGCCCGCCGCAATAACTAGAGCTGAAGTGATGAAGTGAGTTATGGGACCAGCCCTGTGCACTGCCCAGACTTTTTGAAAGCATGCAGGATGAAAATGGGGAAATGGAAATTCTCCCCTTTTGAAACACAAAAGACAAATGTGTACTGAAGGCAACTTTGGCGACGCAACTTCATACTGAACTGAAGACAGTACGAGTTTCTCCAGTAAAAAATAGAAAAGCCATTTTCAAACTGACCTAAGATTATTGAAAATGGGAAGTATTTGCTATTTGGGTTATTAGTTTGAAAGCAAGGGCCCCAGGAAATATTTTGCAATTTAATTTAAATGGTGAGAATGTACATTTTTCTTGGACTTCATTAAAGCATTTGTCTCTCCTTGCCTTTCTGTTAGGTTCAACCACATGACATCACCAGCATTTGACCACTTCCAGGATAAGAACACACCCCGTTCATGGGGTCCCCCTAATAACTGCTCTGCTGCCTACCCACTTCTCACCATGTGCCCCACCTAGACTATTAGAAACCACCTCTGAAAAGGAACCCTACTCCTCACCACACTTTCCATTTTTCCTCTTTTTTCCTATTTTCCTTATTAAATTTTTAATTGGGAAACATAAAATTTACCATCTTTACCCTTTTTAAGTGGCACTAAGTGCATCTACTTTGTTACGCAGCAGCCACCACCATCCATCTCCACCTTTGTCATCTGGCACGTCTGCAACTCCATGCACCTGCTCAGTGCTAACTACCTTTTCCCGCCCCTGCCCCTGGTCACCCCCATTCTACTTTGCAGGTACCTTATGTAGGTGGAATCACACAGTATTTTTCCTTTTGTGATGGCTTTATTTCACTTAGCATGACGTCTTAAAGGTTCATCCAAGGTGCAGCTATGTCAAAATTTCCTTTTTTCCTATAGCTGAGCAATATTCTTTGGTATGTATATTTCCTCCCCTTACTCCACTCTACACACTTTTAAAATAAATTTCCTACAGCACCATTCTGCTCTCAGCTTCTCATTGCCTGGCTTCAAGGTCCTCAACAATATGACCCTTACCCAGCACCACCTAATGACTGCATCAAACCCATTATTATGCAGCCAAATTGAACTTTTGCCTTCTTTGAAGACATCCTTGCTTTACCCCTATTTTGTTCCTACTCTTTGCACTGGCTGAAGTGGCCGTTTTCTCCTCTCTCTTTAACAATTTCCTCATGCGGCCCCTCCAACAGGAAGCACCCCCCGTACCTGACCCCCAACCCCTGTCCCTTCCTCTCCCTGTGACGGGCCCTCACTCAGCCTGCCTCGCCCACTCTGCCTGAGGAATCTATTCTCTCCCCGGTGCCTCAACTCTGCCCAAACAGTTCCCAAATCTCCTTGTCCAACCCACATGTCTGTTGTAGACTTTGACTAAGATTTCCAACCTCCTGCTGGTCTCTTCACCTGTGTGTCCAGCTGGCATTTCCGACTCAACAGGACTAAAACTGAACACATCACCTACCCCACACCTGCTTTCTCTTTATTTGATGGCATCAGCATCCATCTACTCTGTCTCCCAGTCAAGAATTCAACCTGTGCTGAGCCCACAGCCATAAGAATTCCTGACAAGCTGTAGCCATTTCTGGTGTGGAGTTTGCAAAACAGGTGTCATTCATGTTTCTTTGTTTTCCAGGCATTTCTTGCCTGTTGTGGTTTTGCCATGTTCCTTCACCTGTGTGACCTGCCAAGCCTCGGAACAGCCCTCCCTACAAAACTTAATGAGGCTCAACATGACTAATCCTTTGTCCTCTGATAACAGACAAATCCACAGCTCTCCACCAATGCGAGGCAGCTGATGAAGCCTATACAATAGGCCTTTACTTCTGATTTTCCATTCACTCACTAGCAAACATAACTACTAAATGGTTACCATACTACTACATTATCTGGATTTATTTAATCTGGGTATTTCAGAGTCCCTCCCCATTCAGTCTCACACATGGGCCTTTCCTAGGTGCTCTGGCTAGGGCTGCTTTGGGAAGAACATTGGCCCAACCAGTCCTGCAGTCATGAGGGTCTCTCCATCAGGCAGCGGCCCCTCTGCCAGTCAGTGGAACCAGTACGTGAAGCAATTTTGGCAGCAGCTGGCACAGATTCTCAGAAGCCAACATTTGGAAACAAGAGACGTAATAATAATCCTTAGTGAGCATTGTCATCCCCATTACTGAGGTTTACCCAGGGTTCGTGAGTGGTTAGCAGAAGCTCAAGTGGGAGGTGAGTCACTGGAATACACAGTGTCTGGACAGTGACAAGTATAAGGGCTGTGGGTGGCTGGCTTCTCCTAACAGCATTTGAAACTTTGGAGAAAGAACCTGAAAAGCCAGGTAGTCTGCTGACCGACTCAGGGGGTCCTCTCAGTGCAGAGAGCCTTGGCAGCTTTGACGGAGATGCTCAGCCCATAAGTGGTAAGGCGGGTTGTGCTGGACAGCCAGGCCCAGGAGCAAACCGTAATGCTGGCGGAGCTGAGTACACGGCATCAGTGGTTCCTCTACGCCGAGGTCAGGGCCCTGATTGAAGAGAGTGGGACACTGAGACCTGTGATGGGGGTTCTTCAGATGGGAGAGAATCTTATACATCCAGGCTAACAGAAGCAGACCCGTTTCCCTGGCCAGAGGACAATCCCACCTTCCGTGAAGATCACATAGCAACATATCTGAGGCAGGTATACACTGATGCTTGTTTTCCTCATGATCTTGCATCAGCACCCCTCACTACCTCCAAGTTGATGACCAGGACCAGCACAGCCCAGCAGCGGAGGTCCTGGAATAAAATACTTTGCATGTCAAAAATCATTGTAGAGCCTCAACACTATATATCAGCAGAAATCAGGGGAACACATGTAAGAATGAAATCTGAGAGTATTGAATAGGTGGGGGCCAGGTGAGATGTGAAGCTGGATGAGGCACAGTTTATTGAGGTACTTACCCATGCTGTTCTGGCAGGAAGCTAATCTTAACAGCAGGTTGCGGTGGCCCCTAGAGTTGGATATGACGATGGCCTGCATAAAATGAAGCAGCGAGGACAGAACTTTTTGCCACAATATTGAGGAAGAGGTCAGAAGTCTCCAGATGTGCAGATGTTAAAATTAAGTTAATATATAAAACCCTGGGACCGACCACTGGGCCAGGATAACCAGAACAGGTCACAGAACCCTCCCTTTCCTACATGGAATCACATCCCTATTCAGGGGCTACTGTAACCTGAACCAAGTGATAGCCAACCAACTGGTATCTTTGCTGCAACAAATTAACACCGTCTCTGACATCCAGTTTGTGGATTTTGATCTGGTGAAAAAATTCTTCAATGGAAAAGATCAAACACGAATCACTTTTGCACAGAAGACAGTGTTCACTGTCTCACTCCAGGGCTCTGCTGAGTCTGCTGCCTTCTGCCCTCCTGTGGCCCACAGGGACCTGGACTGCCTTGGTGTTCTGCAGGTCATCACGTTGGCTGACTACACCATAAAACAAGAAACAGCCAGCTCCCCTGATGTCCTAGGAAGCCAAGTACATGTAACAGAGTGGGAGATGCACCCCATGAAAATTCAGGAGCCAGCCCCATAGGTGACAGTCTTAGAGGTACAGCATTGTGGGAGATGGGGCAATTCCGCTATGCTAAAGGACAGCGGTGCCTTGCAGCTATGAGAGAGGCCTGGTTCTTGGAAGGCATCTGGGTCTGGAGGCAGAAAGTACCCTGCTTGGGAACACCAATCTGATGCCTGTTGGGAGCCACTCAGAGGACTGCCAGCTCAGCCGGGGCTCAGAAGCTGGGGCCTCCCAGTCGGAGTGTAAGCTGCCCTGGCTCTGGGGCACGTGACCCAGCAGGTCTGAGGGTGTCCAATGTGCCTGTGTGGGAGGAAGTTGCCATGCAGAATGTCTGGCAAGTCCCAGTAGAGAGCTGCAACACATCTTGGGTCTGGAGCAAAGCCTTGCCTTCAGCAGTGTAAGACTATTCCCCACTTGAAAAACAGTTATTGGCACCTAATAGCAGCTAAGGACACCAAGTGCCTTTATAACTGGAACATCCTGTCAAGAATGTTCAGATTATTATGATGATAATGGAGAATTCTCAGATCTACAAAGTTATAAGGTCAGATGTGCACAGCTGCAGTCCATGATTATATAATAGAAATGTATTGAGAATCAGGTGTGGCAGTTCTAGAAGGTGTGAGTAAATCACATAAGTAAGTGTAAATCACATAAAGAAGGTGATGAATTAGGGGCCCTATTCCATGTCACCTGCCTCTATTGCAAGGATACCTCTCTCCATCGGCTCACAGCTATGGTCTAAAGGGAGTTCCCTCTGGCCAATTGAAGAAGGAGGAAATAAGCTGAGCCCGGTTCACAAGTGGGTGAATGTGAAATGTGGTTTTAGACAAGAATGACAGTGGCCCCCTTATAGCCCCTCAGGGTGGTTCTAAAAGACAGTGGTTAAGGGAGTTCTCCATGGATGGAAAGCAAAGCTGCAGGAAAATGTGGCTGGCCATCCACTTTATACGGAAGCAGCAGCAGCCTGAGAGGTAGAGAAATGTAGGAGCCCCCAGGGAGGGACTGATGGCTTCACTTTGTTCAAGGAAAGCCTGGAGAAAATGAGATCAAGAGAGAACAGAAAATGAGCTCCATGGTGAAGGCATGTGGGTGAAGCATGTGGGTGGGCCATGGGGGTGGGCACAGGCAGCAGGCACACCTCCATCCCAGGAGCATCCACCACAGGGACGCCCCCCGCCACCACAGGGATGCCCCCTGCCATCGCATGGACAGGATCCTGGCAGCCTGCCTTGGGGCCCTGCGCCTCAGGGCTGGTGCAGAGGGCCCGTAAGCCAAGTGACCGTGGCAGCAGGGATGCGGGCAGTGCACCGGTCCAAGAGTGTGACTCCCTGCTACCGAAACAGATCTAGCTACTTCAGCCTCTGAATGTCCTGTGCGTTTGCAGCGGAGCCCAGACATCTGCTTGGCATCAGTTGATTGCGTTGGACCTCCTCCCCTCTGGAGAGAGCAGCAATTTGTCCTACTGGAATTTATAGCCACTCCAAAGGTAGGTTTTTCTCTAGTGCCATGAGCAGCGTCACCATCCAGGACAGCCCAAAAGACTGATCTACCAACATGTGTCCCACCCAGTCAAGGGACTCATTTTATGGCAAATGAGTTGTGACAACGATGGAATCTGCTAGACTGACCATGTGTGGCTTTACTCAGAAGTGGGTGATAAAAGATGGGATGATCTATTAGACACCCAGCTAAGGCACCAGCTTGAAAACGACAACTTCCTGGGTGGTGGCCCTGACCTTCAGGATATGGCATGCACCCTGGATGACAGTCTGTGTCCCAACACCTGGACTTTGGGGCTCTGGGTGAAAGTGGGATCACTCCCTCCTCAACCCAGCTCCTACTGCTAATATGACACTGTCTCTTCCATCCCTGCTGCACAGCCAGCCTCCTGGTGACGGGCTGGCTGCACAGGACCACTGCCATCTTCTCACCAGTACTCCCGCTCATCCACTATTGAACTTCTTAAGCTGGATCTGACTTTATATTCCGTCCACACTGATCCCACGCCCTAGGATCCATTCCCACACACATTCCCAGTTGTCCAGGGTTATAAGTTGGGCAGATCTTCTCAGACAGGGATATAAGGGCTATATCTACTGGAAGAGTTGTGCCAGGAGAATTTAAGGATTCAGTATTCCCAGTGTCAAGGGAACATGCCCATATTTTTTCACCCCAATTTTTAGGATCCATCTCATCTACAGTCAGTGCCTTACTTACCATAAGCAATCCAGTGAAGCTGGGGATTCACTTTAGATTATAACCCAGCTACCTACAGGATTAGAATTTGAGTTTGATTTTCAGGAATCACAGCCCTGCAGCTACAAAATATAAGGGTTTGACTGGGGAGCAGCGGCACTCAAAGAGATTTTTAGGTCCCTTATGTAGATCTTATGCTAGAAACGTAAAGCACTGAAGTCATGTCCTTTCCCCAAGTTCTCCAACATACTTAGAAGCAACCAAACAATCCTATTATACTCCTCATTTCCAGTAATATGGCAGCAAATACTTGATCACCTAAAGAAGGTATTGCCATAGAAGGTATTACAGATGAGTATAAGCTGTAATGACTGCCTATTACAGATTAAATAGGCATTGGATGTGTCTAATTAAATGTTTGCCACTGAATGTGGAGAACTACCAGTGTCTCTCTTATCACTGTAAATAGTGTCATTAATGCTTTTAAATCTAAATGGTTAAGAGATCCGATTTCAGATAGGGCAGAATCAACTCAGAGAACCCCTCCATAAGGTTCAGTTTTTATTCCTCTATACCAAATTTTGTACCAGCCAGAGTTCGATCAACAAACAGACCACTGGGATTGATATACAATACAATAAGGGATCTATTGTAGGAATTTGACCTTATACCATTGTGGGAACTGGTTAAACAGTCTATGTATAGCTGTTGCTTTTGTGTGTGGAATAGTCCTGAAGTGAGCAGAGTAGGCAGTCAGGGAGGAAAGGCAGATGTCAGCGGAGCACAGCAGGGACAAAGTGTAACTCTCACAGCCCCCAAATCTCCAACTTGGCTGATATGCTTCATCAGAGAGCAAACTCTACACTTGACCCAGGGACAGAGAAGATGACAGGCAAACCTAGACATCTAGTCTGTCCTATTACTTCTAACTCAGACTAAACTCAAGTCATCTTAGAATAGGTAACAAACAACCTATCTTTCATTTTTCATAAGCTTATTTGAAAACCTTTCATATTCCCTGTAATGGCAAGCTGAAATTGAATTTATGATGCTCTTTCCAAAAATTAATCATCCATTTTTTTCTGACTAATTGGTGGCACAAACTCAAAGAAAATAAAGTTATTTGACTCTCTTTAGTGTAATTTATATTATTCTAGCTTTGTTTGTGCTGATTTATTTTTTATATTTTTCCCATTATATTTAATGTAATTTTAAAATATTTATTTAGTTCTTCCTTTGTACATGCAAACTCTGTAGGAAATGGGCATATGAATAAGATTATGTACCAAAAATCATATAATTCAGAAGAGAAAATGCAAATTTTAGAACACTCAAGACATGATAAATTTCATACAACAACATTAAAGAACATTTTATGATAATTTGAAGGAATGAGAAATTACATCTGTAAGTAGAGAAACTCGGGAATAATATATTAAGGAAATGGCATTCAAGCTGAATTAGAAAGCTTGAATTGGGTCCATACTAAAGAAGAGGAAAAAGAAGAGAAGATCTTTCAAGGCAGAGAACAAACAGTATAGGTGATAGTGTGTCTAAAAGAAAGCACAGGTTTCTGACCATGGGGGTGCTCCAGATGAGCTGGAGTGTGAGTGGGATTTAGAGGAGAAGAAAAGAAGGTTGCAGGACTAATTAGGGAGGTATCACTGGGCTTAGGAGTGGGCGCTTTATTCAGTGGGTGGTACAGAGGCAGTGGAGTTCTTGAATGGGAAAATGACAGATTCCAAGCCATGCTCCAGGATACGTCGGTGGCGCTTATATGTAGAGAAGAAACACAATGAATTAGAAAGAGCTCCAGACTGGGAATTGAGGTACTTGCTTAAATCTAACTTGTGTCTAATTTGGGGCATTTTCCCCACTGAACTTCAGATTTCTTCTATGAAAAAATCAAAAAAGAGGATTTAGCTACCCCTAAATTTAAGCTCTAAAAAAAAAAGACCAATAGTAAGAGGCTTTGGAAAAAGGAAATCTTAAAATAGATGTCTGTGGTTTTCTTTATTGTAAAGAAATTAAAGATGTGATTAAAAGATAACATTCCTTTCTGATATTCTGTAATCACAGAGGATGTCTTTTACCAAAGAGCAGTCCAAAGGACTTAATCTCACACGAGCTCTATAAATATGTTGGCGATTAGTGTTGATCAAAACAATGCTTCCTTTTATCGATATATATTCTAAAACAAGTAGCAAGTACTTTCTGGAGTTAACAAAGAACCAAAATGATAGGTAGACAGGCACATCTCAGGAAGAGAAACTAAGACAGCTCCCCATTCTCCAGGGAAAAGCACAAAAGCCACTGCACAGTGCCTGCTGCCCCCTGTCCCCCAGAGCAGCACGGAAAGGCAGTGAGCAGGCAGCAGGCCTCCACGAGAGTGAGGAAGACCCAGCCTGTGCACCAGTAACCAGACACTATGACATGCTAACAACCATCTCAGAAGATGCCAGAACAGATATCAACAGCCAGAAATCACAGTAGAGCTGGAGAGAGCTCAGGTATTGTAATAGCCTTTTCACATAATTGTGGATATTCTTTAATACCATGCAAAAACTCAACAATGAATAGCTTCTTAAATATTAATACAATATGGAATCCGAAACCATATAAATAAACATTCTTACTGTGTTCCATTAGATTCATTCATTCACCTTGAACTCTGAGTGGATCTTTAACCCATGCATGATTTCAAAAATTATGCATTGATATTTGGAGAATATTAATTCACTGAGTTATACAGATTTTCCAAATGCTGACATATTTTATTACACAGTGTCAAAAATCCTATCTGTTACCATCATCACAATTCTCATCAGAAAAATCTTCAAATATCAGTAAGCTGTCAAGTTCACAGTAGTAAATACAGTTTCCCAAACTTATACTTTTTGGTTGAAAGCTCAAATGTTACTGCGACAAGTACTTTCTGTTGTTTTCCTCGAAATGACGGCTCACTTCATTCACTTTTGAAAAGACGTCCAACAAAAATGTGGGCCTGACTAATCGTAGTTTATCTATCAAAGTTTACCAGTTAGTTGTTCTTTCAAGTAAAAATAGTGTTTCATGAAAAAAAGTACTAATTCAACTCAAGTCAGAGACTTGCATAAATGATTTTCCTCAAAACCACTGCCATGTGTTAATATGAGTCAGAAGCTCTTTGTTTGTACTTCCCAGTTAACCACACAGAATATTAAAAAGATGTGAAATCAAAAGTCAAGTTTTAATGTAATTGGGTTTTTTGCTTTATCTCTTGGTGGTGGAATTTTGGATGGTTTCTATTACCTTTTCAGGCTAATCTGAATGTTGTTCATTTTTTATAATAATTTATCATTATTTCAATAATCAGAAAATATGTGGTAATGTCATAGAATCTGAAAAAATGTTCACATTTCTGAGCCTGGAGGAAAAATGCCCCTTCTTCTGCCCCTGCTTTACCCCCTCATCTTCCTCTCCAGCCCCTGAGCTCCACCACCAAGTGATTTCCTGTGCTCCACGGACCAAGGTTGCTCAGGGTTTTGAAAAATTCTGGCAAGACATGCATACTTAAGTGTAGAAACAGATTCCTATAGCAAAGGACATGTCAAAGCTCATACCCCATGTGTATTAGCCCCAAAATATCTCTACATAAGAAGGGTTCCATCAGCACTTTCAAAAGCTCGCTTGATAAGCTAATATTTGAAACAATAAAATTACAGCATTAAAAAAAAATATTTCGCAGCTTCTCAGAGCTGTGCTGTTTAACACAGAGGCCAATCAGCCACATGTTGGTTGTTGAGAACTGAGAAATTGAATTTTCTATTTTATTTTAATTAGTTTAAAATTAAAAATTGTTACTGAATTCAGTTATTAGAAATTTTTAAGGATGTTTATAAATCTACTCTTACAACTGTTTCATGACATCTGAACATCAATCAAGTATCTCCAATGAAAACAACATCCAATGGAGATGGTAACTACATAATACTTACAAATTCAAACACTTAGTAAGAAAAAATTGTGAAGTGTTGTATTACTAATCTTTTATACTGATTTCCTATTGAAGCGATAATATTGGCTTAAATGAAATACAGTATTATAACTAGTATAATGTTTGTTTTTACTTTTTTTAATGTCATTGCTAGAAAGTTCTACTTATAGATTTGGCTTATGGTTCACAGCATATTTCTTTTGGACAGCGTCAACTTTGAGCTTGCTCTGTTAGAATTAGACCTAAAATAATTTTATTTGCCATACTGAGTATTTTTTCTACTTTTGACTGTTACCATAAGCCTACTTAAAATCCTTCCAAGTCACAACTGGAAATAGGATTATTCTTTTTCTGGAAGAGTGTCTTTCAGAAATATTATAATCTCCAAGCCACCTAACCACCTAACCTACTTACAGTGTGTGAAAAGATTAAATACTTGTAATGAGTATGTGCTTATGAGGGGTATCATTAGGTTATTATAAAGTCATTGCTATTATATCTTTCTAAACCTAGAAAGTTCTGTCTTCTTTCAGAAGAAAGCTAGTGGAAAATGGCTCCAGACACTGCGTACTTTTGTATGAAAGTTAACAGTACTTTTATTTTCTATCTGCCATTATATCTTGAACCCCTTTGTCTTGGCTTTGTGGCAAAGGACTGAACAATTGAAATTTCCCAGAAGTCCTTTTTAACTTCTAACAAAGCCCTAGCAAGTGCTTCTTTCTGTCCTTTATTCACAGCAATGGTTTTTTGCTTTTAATGAAAAAGTAAAACTGGGAATCGTTTCCAAAGCTTTCAGAACTTTTTCTATTGGAATGCAAACACTCCTCTGGCACCTCGGAAAATTCTGAGAAATTGTTGGGTTTTGGCGACACTTCCAGAAAACCTGGCCTTCTTTTCTTGTTCATGGCTGGTTTGAGTTCTTCTCCGTCCAAGTACATTCAAGTAAAGTCAGCAGTTAACTGTCTCTTGGAGGGCAAACCTCCAACTTGAACACAGGACAAAAGAGCAACTTTTTCATTCCAAATTTGGGATTATAACCAGTAAACCTCAGGACCCCGCCTTGTCACTTCTCCTCTCCAAATGTGACTTGGTTTCCTAAAAACACCCTTGCTTCTCTTTAACCCTGTCCATGAACTCCCTGTAGGCAGCTTTTGTGCGACTAAGCATATAACCCAAACTAAGATCACTTGTATGTTGTAAAGATAATGACAGACATTTTCTTGGATTCTCTAATGCAACCATCCTAACTGGTCTAAAAATTGTCCATCCACAATTTTTATTATGCCACTCAGCCCAGATTTTCTATTCCAAAGTATCAGCATAAAATGAAGCCACTGATAATTTTCTGTCTTCATTTCCTCCATAAGCTAAGTAGCCTGAATGGGAAAACCAAGAAAGCAATTGCCAAGTGTTCAATTAACACATTACCAGATTCTAATCTTAGAATCAACTCAGATATGTCCCCCTTATTTATTATCTATAAAATACAACTTGGCTTTTATTTTGCCATCTTATAATAGTAATTTAAAAGATGATGTGTTATTCACTGTTTCACCTGTATTTATCTCATCTCATCAGCCAGAATAATGACTGATTTTTCTTTTATGGCTTGTAGATTTAGTTCAGTGGGTATGTCTTCAATGATTGTGGTTTGAGAAAGTACCTGCTAACAGCTCCTAGCATGCTGCAGGAACAAACCAGGTAAATTCACACTCAAGCAGAAGATAAGATCTCATCCGTGGAGCTAAAAGTGGCTAATGCCTGTGGAAGCAGAGCAAGAAAAAACTAAGAAGGAATAAGTTCTCTGCCATTGATTTGTGTAATCTTTTGATCTAATAAATCATCTTTAATCTCCATACTCAGCAAGTATCAGATACTTAAACGTAACGAAACCCAAATTAAATTTTTATGAAAAATTTTAGTTTAAAGTTATAGTTAAAAACACAACCATCTCATTTATCTATAAATCTCTCTGGGACATCTTCTGAAAAGTGAAGCAATTGAACTAGATTATATTTAAATTGCAGTGATTCTATAAATCTGAGTCATAAACCTTTATGTACTATAGTCCTAAATAAAGCTTTTCAAGGCTATGGCCCAAAATAAAGTCAAAAGGTCAGTATGAATTTTTAACAACAAAATTGGCATATACATGCAATAGTAGTTTTCTTGAAGATGCAACATTTAAGAAACCAAATGGCAGAAAATATCAAAATACAAAACTTTTAGCTATTAATCTATCTCTACAGTTCACACTCAGATACTATAAGGGCCTGGTCATAGTGCCAGGTCCAAGGATACATTCAAGAAATTTTTCTTAAAGGTTGTGTGAGTATTCTGGGGTGCTCTGGAGACCTGCTGACCAGTCGGCTCCTCTTCAGGAAAGCATGCGAACAGGAGACAGTGAGCCCCACCGGCCTTGTTCTGTGGTCAGGGGAGGACCCTCCTTCCAACGACCCATCCCACCAACTCTCCATTCCATGCCATGGCTGGCCAAGAAATACTTTTCTGAGCATTTCCATATACCTTTGTAGGCTCAGGAAGATGACTTATTCAGGGTTTGAACTTGACGTTGTAACTACAGTTCTAATATTAACAGCCAAGTTCCAAAACACTGATTGTAAATGGTTATAATTTAAGAACCCATTAAAACCATCATTTGGAAGGCAAAACTTGTTGTTTGGAAACAAGCCAAATAGCACAATGGATTTCCCTTTTATTTCATGCACACACACACACACACACTCTTTCCCTTTTAAGCTACTCTTCCAGACAGAGGACTGGGGAGATGAGTATAGGCTATCAATAATCTATGCTGTGTTCTGAGAAATGTGGTGAACTTAGTATCACTAGGAGAAAAAACGTGATTGTTCTACAGTTAAGAGATGGCTGATGGAGGTATAATGTAAGAGTTAGAAAATGATTTAAACTGAGAAATGAGATTTTGAGTAGGTGACCTACACATGTAGAAAATGAGCATTCTTTAAAAGCTATTTGCTCACCCTTACCCTCTCCCAGGCAGCCAGCTTGACAAAGGGGTGGGTACCATCAGGTCAGCACCATTTATGGGAAAGAGTCGCCTCGGTGAAGCCATAGTGTTGCTCAGTTTTTATCACTGTGCCGCACTTCACCTCCTAGAAAGCCATGTCGGGGTCTGCACAGAACAGAACAGAGGGTCACGGGATCTGGGGCAGAAGAGGCAGAGAGAGCTGGCCAGGCAGCAAACTGTGGCACATCAGCTCTTCTGTTGCAAAGCAAACAGGACGATGTGCCAGTGTGCAAAGAAATGAAATGAAAGATTGCATTCCAAGGCCTCAGAATTGAGGCATTAGAAAAAATTGATTTCAGTAATTGAAAGTGAGTTTTGCTGTGCATGAACAATCAGCTTCGCAGAAGTCTCTGCCTACATGACCCACTGACTTCCAGCAGATCTGAATTAAGATTGTTCTATCCCCACAAATAAGCAAGCAAGCCAGGTGGGCTAAAGTCTGTGTCTCTTTTTCCAGAAGCCTCTAAACATTAAGTCTAAGAATTAGTTATTACAAATACCAGCTAAGATCTTCTGGATATGATAGCAAATTTCCTCCCTAATATGGGCATGTTACCAAATCTTAACCAAGTGGAAGATGAACCCAATCTGGATTGACTTTTTTGCACCTGATAAAGGAAACACTGTCACACACAGTCACAACACTCAGCCACAGCACAGGGAGCCAAATTATTTTGTTTGAAAATCTATCTCCTCAATTCTAAGTAATGAGATTAAATTCTCATTTTTTTTTCCTTCTATCAGTAGAAGCCTAAATCAAAACAAAACAAAACAAAACAAAATACCTAGTTTCATTTCAACCCTCTAAAGGTGGGAAGAGATTTGGAAGGATCATCTTGCTTATAAACCTTATAAACAAGGCCATCTACAATATTCCAAAATGGCCAAAATAATATTTCCAATTTTTTAATTACCTTCAGAGATGATTGCACTATTCTGTCTCAGGTGTTCATCCAGGAATTGTCAAATCTTTGAATACCCCAACTGAAATTCCATCCGTCTCCGGTGTAAGTTAAAGCAACTAAACACACATTTCTGGAACATACATCACGTCCTGGAATCACTCCACCCTTCCATCTTCTCTAGCCTGCCAGCTCTGCTGTGCTCAGAGGACTCCTGCCCAGCCCAGAGATGATGAATTTAAAGACCTAAGAACAGAAAAGGCCATATAGGAAGAGTTTAAAAAACAAGTTAGTGATAACGAGGATGACAATCCACCCAGTGGCGTGGCCAGCCGATTCCACACCGCTCCCACCAAACACTGGATTTTTTTAAGTGATCCCTGTGCCAAGATTCACTTAACACACCCCCTGCCCATTCATTTCCCCCTTGACCACAGAGCACTGCTAAAGAAAATCAGAGAATTTGCTGATCTCTGAACAAAGTCATGCTACCTTCGAATGTTCCCCGAGCTGACAGAAACCTTACTTATCTCGCGCGCCTCCCCAGGCACACTCCTTAAACAAATTACTCCAAGTCTTCTCTATCCTAAATCTTTTCCACCTGAAGTCTCTTCTCCCTGATGCCATCAGAAATCGATCTTCTTGCTATTTTATGTATACCAATGCCTCACATAATACCTGAAAGATAGAGTTTGTCCAAAACATATGTATCTGGTTGAAATAAAAAGCAGCAATACTCAGTGTAGCTTCTATACAGACCTCCATTTCATTTTTTCTAAAGAACTAGAGAAAATCTTAGCCAAACACAGGTAAGGAAAGATTTTCTGTGTTTATCACATTCGGGCCCCTTTTTGTCATGGTGCTTCCACTACTTTCGTCGCTCCTCTGTACCCCCCATCACCCTGTTCCCATCAGGCTGTGTACCAGAGCTGTCACCGATAACTGTCTTCAGTACTAATGGCACACTGTGCTCCCTCTCTCCATCTGCAGTTGTTCAGGTTTCCCACTCTTTCAGAGTCTTCTTCACAATACCTGGAGAGCTCAGGCCAATCCTCTTCCTACCAGGAACTTACAAATGTGCACAAATGAGGGACCTTGCAGTACACATTCCCTCACAACTGTCGCTCCTGTTTCCTGGGAATTGCTTCTCTCTTTTGCTCAGGTCTCTGTTTCTAAGATCATCAAGTCCTCTCCTGAGGTGTGCATGACTGGGTCCCCCTTCTCTTCCCAGTCACAGCTCCACACTGCACCGTGAGAAGACTTGCATGCAAGAGTGTGGGCATCCCGGACCAAGCTCCATATATATGCACCTGTTCACAGCTTTTGCTGGCCTCCCCTGAGACTTGCACACATCACCAGTGTGGTCCAGGTGGGGAGAGATATGCAAAAGAAGATGCTGGCCCAGCCTAGGGTAGAAGCCCCATTATGGGGCATGTGATCTAGAAGGGCTCTGATGATCCAAGAGGAAGACCGTGCAGAGCTGGGGCAGAGCCTTCCAAGGCAGGGCCCCACTGCTCAGGTCTGATCTGAACAGTGGGCACAGACGAACAGCAGAGCCCAAGCCTTTCCCTTGGAAATGCAAATTCTTTATTCCAAAGTAATTAATTCTGTAATGATTTATGTACTGTTCTAGCAAATATTTCTTGATCCATATAGCCTGAAGGGCTAACCATTTTTTTTACCACCTTCAACTGAGAGACACACAAACCTTCATTTTCCTTCCTTTTTCAACCTGATATAAGGCATTTCCTCCTGTATCCTCTCTTCCTTTCCTCTTTTCTTAAAAAGGAGAAAGTCCTCATGGAGGCACATGTACATGAGAAGAGAGGGGCAGAGTAGATGAATGGATACCACCCACACTGGCTCCTTAGAGGTGGTGCTCACGCGATGAGGCCACGGTGCTGCCCCCGGCAGCAGGCCTGCAGATCAAGGGGCAGCTGGGAGTGAGAACATTCAGGTAAGAGGTAAGGTGAAACCGTGGATGAGACTTGGCAACTTTAAAAGGTCCAGTGAATTTCTTTAGATATAGATTTTTTTTCAGATTGTACGAAAGTGAGAAAAGGAGCTACAGAAGTTGAAGAGCAGGATGTATGATGATTCAGGAAAGAAGCAAGAGAAAGTTTCATCTGAATGTTACAAGAGTCATCCAAGGGATTTCCTAAACTACTTGATGGCTGAGAGTCAGTCACATTTTTTGTGGTCACGAATTGTGACCATTTCTGCTCCTTTCTTAGAAAATGTTCTGCTTCCAAGCAGTATTCTGAAAGCGTTTTCTTAAGCTGCCTAGTTTCTGGCTACTCTTCCTGTCATTGCCCCCCTGTGCACAGAATTTTAAACATCTTGTTCTTTCCTTAACACTGGGACTATCTTTTAGTCTATGAAAAACATGAAGTTCTGAGCCTTTCTGAATGATAACAGGTGATAATGTTCACCAACCCTTACACATTCAGCTCTTCATATGTTCAAATTCAATCCAAATTTTGAAACAATTACTACTGCAGACTATATTTAGATTATTGACCAGTTCAGTCATTTTGGTTCAGTCCATTAGATACCAAGTTCTTGCTTCCCAGAGAACTGATTTTCCATTGTGGACGTCCAAAATGGCCTTTAAAACACCCAACCAAATGCTGAACTGCCATAGTAGCTGGGTGAGTGATAAGGGGTAAGAAAAGTATCCAGTCATCCAGCCACATTTCTGCTTTTTTGTACCAGCTACAGATGAAATACAGTCACTCAATAAAGTCCTTCTGTTTCTCTTTCCCTCCCTCCCTCTCTCTCTCTCCATTTGCCTAGAGAGGGGAACCCTAAACCCTCTGGAGCCCGGCCAGCAACGCCAAAAGAATCCCTTGACTATTTTCCCAGGGAATTCCTGCCTTAAATGTCAGCAGAGCACAACTCCCCAGCCAAAGCAGAGTCAGTCTGGCCCCGAACCAACGGAAGCCCTGGGTCCGTGCGGCGTCGGGGCAGCCGCACAGGCTTACCTGTGAAAGGTTCCAAGGCCGTGGAAAGACCCAGTTTTCTCACTCACCTCTCTCTCTGAGGCACAGCAGACTAAGTCAAACATTTTGGTTCCTTGCTGTTTTTTGATTTTCTCTTTTGGTGGTGAGCTCTGCTGCTGGAAACCACTCGGACCTGAAACCGAAAAGTAACACCACTGTCCCCAGGGAGCAGAGCCCCATAACAGCCCCTTGCGGTGGTGGCCGGGGCCCCACTGCTGCCGCTGTTGTGCTGTTCATTTGTTTGTTTTTAATGAACGCGTTGATACAGAGGGCTCTAGGGGATATTCGTGATGCTGAGATTCACGAAAAGACAGGCAAGATTTACGAGTTGCAATTGAAACTGCCCCAGCCAGCCTGGAGACGCTTCCCATCTGGTACTGAGGCACTACTGGCACTGATAGCACTCCAATCTCCAAACATACAGAGAAATATGAAGGAGGGCAGGGATGAGAGAAGAAGTCCACAGCTGCCTAAGACATACCAGCACTGAACGAAAACTGGTGAAGTAGGCTAAACGTTCAGAAGCCAAGTGTATCCACCAGCTAGTGTTTGCTGAGTCCTTCTAGAATTTTCATTTTCCCTCCTTTCATTTTTCCACGTGTTACTGACCTACAAGTTCACAAGGCCATTCAACGAAAAATTCACAAGTTTGCCAGACATGTAACATCAATTTTAAATCAGTGTGCCATGTCACGCTCCTCCCTCTAAAGATCGTAAAGATCAGAGCACTATACAGTAAGAAAGCGAAGAAGTTTTAATCAGTAAATTATTACTCCATTTTTAAATGGATTAGATCCTTTTAAAGTTACCAATGGGGGGAAAGAATTAGATTCCAAATCTCACTGGGCTGGAGGCCCAGGGCAGTTCAAAATGGATCAACTTAGACACTATTGCTTATATGGCCAGAGCTGCCCACCTCAGAGTGTCCCAGCCACAGGGCACCATACTGCTTTCCTCCATCATGACCCTGCCTGCAGCCCCACAGACAATCCCCTTGGAAATTTCTGCCCCTGGTCCAGAGAAATGTGAGGCCAGTAGCTGATGACTGTATGAGGCCAAGTTGTTGCAGGAGGTTCAATAACACCATCTCAAGTATAAACACATAGTAACACCTAATGAAAAAACTCCCTCCAATAGCAGAAGGGTTAATCCCAGATCAGTTGCAAGCCCCTCACTGAGAATACTAGTAAGTGCATGAGTTGGTGCCAATTAGGGTCAACCTTCCCTTGATGGGAACAGTCATCCCTTAGGAACTGGACTGTCAACACATTCCACCAGGGCAGTGCCCAGCCAGCCAGAAGAAAGGAAAGGGGCTGAGAAACCATGGTAACCGAGTTAGGTTGGCACTTTGTAAAACGGTGTCGGGAACTGCCAAGGCCAGGGAGTGAATGCTAATGAGCCTAGGGCAACTTGCAAAGAGTGGACCTGAAAAATGCCCCCCAAGTGCCCGGTAGCCCTAGGGAGTGACACTCTCCGGGTGCCCTGGTGATACGACCACAGGCTTCATTCGCAAGGAAGAACTTGAACACTGCAGGGCTGTCCTTCGGGTTCAGAGACCTCAATGTGTTAAGGTCAGAGCCATTACATTTAGCACTTCTGCCTGGAAAATCAAAGTTTTCCAATTTTAAAAAATGTTTTGTATCTTTTTAAAATCTTATTCTAAAATCTGAATGGTAAACAGCTTTCAGAGTCCTCATGAAATCTGTTAAGTGCTCTTTGTGGATTCCCAATAATCCCCCTTCCCCCTCTCATCAGGCTTTATTCTTACCTTCAAGGAGCGTATTTTAAGAAGGCTGACTTCCCTGATGGACAATCATCAGTGTGCAACCAATCTTTTTTGTTTTATTAAGGTATCATTGATATACACTTTTATGAAGGTTGTACATGAAAAACATTGTGGTTACTACACTCACCCATATTTATCAAGTGACCCCCTCACCCCTCTGCAGTCACTGTCCCTCAGTGTAGTAAGATGCCAGTCACTACTTGTCTTCTCTGTGCTACATTGTCTTTCCCGAGTGCAACCACATTCTTAAGGATATAAATTTAATCTTTGTTATCTGCAAATGCTTGAAAGCACTGCCCTGAAATTCACACTCAAAATTTCACTTCCTTTCTAATGAGAGCCTTTCACCCCTTCCTATCTCAGGTTAACCACAGGGAGGAGAAAACAAAAAATTGTAATTGTGATGTGGAAGTGTAACAGCTTTTGTTCCTTTCTCTTCTGCATTACTTCTTGCCACACCTCATTCTGAAAAACACTGATGTGATGTGAGATGAGATAGTAGGTGAGAAGGGAGGGATGGGAGGACCCCACAGGTAAACATAAGTTATTACCACACTTCTGGCTGTTGGGTTGAGCAGTGGGTTCACGGATAGTCGTTATACTACTAAAAAATAATTATTTAAAATAAAAGAGGGCCAGATATGCACCAATGATGACAGAGTGTCATAAACCAAAGATTATAATTGCTCCAGTCTATGTACTTGCATTAGTCCATTTAAAGGAAAAAATGAATAGGATGGTGCTGGTGCAGGCAGCTAATCTCGGGCCTCCCTGGACTCACACGGCCCTCAGTCAGGAGGCCTTCACAGGCACATAGCCTGTGTGGCCACACAGCACCCTGGTTTAGAAGGACCCTACTATTTGTTTAATGTCCTGTTTAAAGTCACAAACTGGGAATTCTGAGTAATTTGGGGGTAAGGAGTCCTGCCTTCCTTTTGCACTGGGCCTCACGAACGGTGTAGTCAGTCTGGTCTCTAGGTTTCTACATAATGGACCTACACTTCCCAATAATTTTGTCCCAACCCAACATCTGTAATCCTGTTTGCTACTTCTTACCCAACCATTGTTTTAATGTAACAGTCAGGTGAGCACCCTGAAGTAGTCTTATTTCTGTCATTCTTATTTCCTTATTTCCTATTAACCAAATGAATGCTGCCCAGGCTACACATGGCCCTGCAGTTGTGTTGTGCGTGAAACGTTGCTTCTCAGATCAAAAACTTCAAACTGAACCCACTGGGTGCTGGGCCACTCAAAGACAAGTGCACCGCAGCCTGGACCTTACTTCATCTCATCCGCAGAGTAACACAAGTCCGTTTACTATTAGCTGCCCAATTTCAACTTCAGCATGCAACAGGACAAGACAAATTCTCAGCAGTTCTTTGTGGTAGGAAGAACTCAAGAGATTTGGGGAATTCCTCACTCTCAAAGATTACCAACTAAACAAACATAATGGAAGCAAACAGTATGTGTTTCTCAAATGCCCTGTGTCTACAGTGATCAGGTAGAGAAAAGTTATTTCAAGTCCAAATATAACTTGGTGATTGCCACATGGTGCAGAATCTTTCCACCCCTAGACTCCAAAAACCCAATCAGACGAGTGGCAGTAATCTGACTCCCAGCGAGCGCACTGGGAGGTGCAGGCAGGCGATGCAAGCTGCACTCTGGCCAGGAAAGGCATGAGTGACAGACCTGCAGCAAGGCGGTGGGGGTAAGTCCTTCTTTGCCTTAAGGGAACAAAGCAAGGGCTAAAAGATGAAACTCTACTTCTCCTATTATAGATATTTTGTGCCTTCTCTGATTCTAGAAGAAAACTAGAGGGCAGGTAGGGATTCCTTCTGATCTGGAAACAAGGCATATTCATCAGAGGGGTACAGAGAAGGTAGAAGAGAAGGGATGCTTTGTAGCAAAATCCTCCATATATGGGAGACCTATGAAAACACAGCAAACTACCCATTGGAGGGACATGTAATCATAATATGTTTTCATCAGAAAAGTTACTCACCTAAGGGCTCAGCTGTCCAGAAGTGGATCAGGCTGGCTGTTCAGCTAGAAGTAATGTGTCCGGCTCAGTACCATCCGGACACATCAACAAGCCCCCTTTGTTCTGGGGTGAAAGAAGTAAAACAAATGGAGTTGATCCGTTTCCAGTGAGTGTGAACCCAAAAGAGAACACTGATGATCTTAACAGGGGGCTCTGAGAGCCGCTGCAGGGGGAGCACTGGTGAGGTCGGGGGTGTGGCTGCGCTGCAGGGAACTGGGGTGCCCTGCGGCTGAGGCTGGTGGCTCTGCCCGGGAGGAAGATCAGATTTTGTGTTGTCATGAAAGCTAACCGCACCCTTAAGGACTGTATTTCTCTATCTGGGCTTTTTTGTTGCTATTTGGATTGTTGTCTTAATTTCTCAGGCTGATGATAATTTAAAGCTGAAAGAGCAACTGAGTTTCTTAAGTGAGTCTCTGGAGAGGTAGACAGACCCCTGAGAGGAGCAGGGAGTGAGAACTGGGGAGCTGGGGAAGTGAGCGGGGAAGAGGTGTTCGGAGACGCCCGCTGCCCGGCCCTCCTTCCCCGGGGTCCTCCGTGTGCTGAAGAGCATCTGCCGCTTCCTGCCCACTTGGCTTCCTTAGCTTCCTGCTTTGTCCGCCTCCTTTTCCCCACTACATCCAGCCACAGACGACCAGCACCTGTGATAGCACCTCGCCCTTTGCCATCCTGGCTATAGACGTGCGCTGCTGGGGAAGGAGTTCAGCAAACACCCGTCTGGCTTCTTTTTCAATCTGTGAGCTCTCTGAGCTTCTCCCACTTTGAGATACTTTAATGACTCTCCCAGGACACCCTCCCTGCCCTGGCCAAGTGCTGTGTTTATCTCTCTATTTTCTCTTCCTCTAGGGAGTGTGATGTCATTGTCCTCCCAGCTGGGCTTTTCATAATTACAGGATTCACTTAGAGGAGTTTGTTCACTTGGGTAGCGGACGCTTGCGATACAGCTGGCTGGTCCCCTTCTGGAGCCACCCCAGCTCAGGCAGAAAATGGGTTTCTCTTTCCAACTCTGAAGCAAAGCCCCCATCAGACCAGAGGCTGAGTTGAGATCCTAAAGGTCAAGGGAGAGTCCCCCTCACCCTTTTTGGCACAGCATGTCCCCACTGAGGGGGGGGGGACATTCTCAGCAGTACGTCAAGGGGGGCGCTGCAATAACCCTGATCTGTTCAGACACCCTGGGCGCCGTCCGGCTTCACCCTCGGCCCCCACCCGACACACCCTCAAGCGCCCCCAGGAGGAGACGGCCCGCCGTATTCCAGGGTCACGCAGAAGCAGGAGACCATCAACACGCCCCGGAGAAAACCGCCTCCCCCGGAGCGTGGTGCGGTGAGGCCCGGCCCCCTTGCCGCACCGCGTCCTCAGCGCCCGGCGCCGCTCAGCCCCGCCTGCAGGGCATCCCTCGGGGGAGGCTTGCGGGGGCGCTGAGAGAGGACAGGCGCGGCAGGGGCAGTTCCCGGCCTGCAAAGGCGCCGCGGGTCCGCTGGCAGGCTGCCCTGCGCCCCGGGCGACTGCTGGGCCCGTTCCCACCCGGGAGCCGTGGGCGCTCGCCCACTGCGGGGTGCCCGGCCCGGCCACCTTGCGGCGCCGCGCCCCTCGGCGGACGGCTCGCGAGCCCTCCTGCGGGCCGGGGACAGCGCGGCGGTGACCCCGTTCCCACGGCCCCTCCCATCTCCCTGCGCTCCCTCCCCCTCCCGGCCTTACCTTCGGGGGGACTGACGTCCCGCGGCCCTGCTCCCCGGCGGGGCTCCCCTAAGCTGGGGTCCACCCCGCACGGGAGCAGGGAGAATCACGCGGAACTGAAAACGACCTCCCGTTTCTATTGCTTTGTGTTCGCACTATCAGCGGCGTGTTAGAAGTACATTGGCACTTAAGAACTTGCTCTGAGGGAATTCACTGAAAAGTAAATACATTTTTATTCTTAATTCTTTAAGGAACTTGATTTAGACATTTTCCTTGCTAGGAACACTTCAGTGAAACTGGATGATCTTTGAATGTTAAGTAAAAACAGGCTAGAATAGCAGTCTCTTAACTATTGAAAGAGGTTTTCCAGAAGCATTCTTCCTCGTTGGGCAAATAAGGTTTGGAGGGGCCCTCTCCACAGCAGAGCAAGACTGCGGGCCTCGTATCCGCCCCTGAGCCCACCAACCCAGTCTGGCAGCTTCTGATGCGATTCCCTTTCTTTTTCAGCAAGTGTGGGCCTTCGTGGAGAAGAGAGAGTATCATGGTGGCCTTCAAGGGGGTCTGGACCCAAGCTTTCTGGAAGGCAGTCACAGCAGAATTTTTGGCTATGCTTATTTTTGTTCTGCTCAGCCTGGGATCCACCATCAACTGGGGCGGAGCAGAAAAGCCCTTACCTGTCGACATGGTTCTCATCGCCCTTTGCTTTGGACTGAGCATCGCAACTATGGTGCAATGCTTCGGCCACATCAGCGGTGGCCACATCAACCCTGCTGTGACGGTGGCCATGGTGTGCACCCGGAAGATTAGCATTGCCAAGTCTGTCTTCTACATCGCAGCCCAGTGCCTGGGCGCCATCGCCGGAGCAGGAATTCTCTACCTCGTCACACCTGCCAGTGTGGTGGGGGGCTTGGGGGTTACCACGGTAGCATCTTCAGCTATTTTCAAACTAGGATTTGTTGCAGACACTACTAAATGACACCCTGGTAGCCTGAAAGACCTTCCTGATGTTGTTAATTAATTCCCAGGGAGTTTCTGATGATCCTTGACACTGACCAGTGAAAATTGGTTCTGGCAACATCAGATGCATACATATAAAATCATCGTTTGTTGTTGAATGACTTAGATGTTACTAAGTCAAGGTGGCACAAAAATTGTGTTGGTTTTCTCTTCTTTCTCTCCCATCCCATGACTGCATTGACTATATATTTAGCTTAACTCTAAGCAAAAATATATTTAGCTAAATGCTTAACAACTATCATTGGTTCACCAGCAGAAGAAACAATTTTGCTTCTTGTCATGTTCCTGAGACTTAATATGATTGACATTAAGGGTTACACTTAAAAAAAAATAAACTGGAGTTTGATACTAGCTTTGTTCTTAAATGATTAGGAATATCATTTGTTAACTCAGCACCAGAATTGATTTAAAAGCCACACACAGTTTAAACTTTAATTGAGATATACATTAATTAATTTAAACCTAATTAATGGATATAATCATTGCCTTATAAAATTACAAGGCTCTCAAGAAATTCTTTTTATAACTTAAGTGCAGCAGTGGCACATTTTGGTTCCTTTGTAGAAAAGGACATCCAGCACAAATTCCCACCTGGTCATTGTAAGAGTTAATTAACATCCATGAGCATGGTCCAAAAGGAGTGGAAATGTATTCTTTTTGAGGGAGAAGTGTGGTGCCGCCTTGTGGATGGGATAGAAGACTCAAATTTCCCAGTGATGCAATATGCCTTTGACAATGATATGTTATCATGGAAAATGTACTCCTGCTTCAATTCAGATGGAGTATTTTTCTTTTTCTAGGTTCATGGAAATCTTAGTGCCGGTCATGGACTCCTGGTAGAGTTGATAATCACATTTCAGTTGGTGTTTACTATTTTTGCCAGCTGTGATTCCAAACGGACTGATGTCACTGGTTCAATAGCTTTAGCAATTGGATTTTCTGTTGCAATTGGACATTTATTCGCAGTAAGTTTCCAGGTCCATTTAAATAATTGATCCATTTCTTTTCTCCTCACCCTAGTGCTGGCCTGATGATGTTGTATTTTACAGCTGGAGTTCTTTAGTATCCAGCCACATCTGTCCATTGTAGGTGATCATTTTGCTAACTTTGTGATAACAGTGTTGATATGGCTGCTGACCTCTTGACAGTTCCTCTAACTGACTTGGCAAATGGTAGCAAATTGTAGTGAATGATTCCTGTTAGTAACTCCATCCTAGCATGGTCTGAAGCTCTTTTCCTTTTCCCCGTAGATCAATTACACTGGTGCCAGCATGAACCCCGCCAGATCCTTTGGACCTGCAGTTATCACGGGAAATTGGGAAAACCATTGGGTAACCATCCTGTTGATACTCCTGTCTTCCTACAGTTGAGGACAATGACCCATGTAGCTCTTTTTTTTCCTTAGTTTGCTCACTAGTTTCTCTTGCTTCATCCCACCCTTGACCTTCCCCCACTTTATTGCGTCTTTCACAAAGATGAGGGAGAGACTAGCGCAGACATGCTGCAAAATGTCTCATCTTACATCTGTTCTGGGCCTTCAGTAACAGACATTTGTTTAAGCGCTGCTGTGGGCACTGAATCTGACAGACTGCAGCACACTATACTGTACATGGAGGTTGCCTGTGTGGGACAAGTGAGCATCAGGATAGTGCAGTGGATATGGTGTTTAAATAATTGAAATTGTAAAGCCTTGCTGGCTATAACAGAAAATATACTTGAAAAAAGAAGATGAAAGAAAGAAATGCTTAAAAGCACTGCCCATAGCAAAAATATTTACTTTTTTGTTTACAAAACCATGAATCCAATTAATAGTATGTGAGTTGGAAGCAAATGAACTACAGATGGTGAGGAATAAATGGTGCAAATGTTTATGCTATTATCACCAAAACCATAGCTGGAAAAATAAATGACTTTCAGAAAAGGCACACTTTTCAGTCTCATGTCTAACCTACTTATTAATGTGGTGGCAGTGCTTCCACGTAGCTGTGACATTTATTTTTAAATACCACGATTTTATTTCCATTGCTTCTTAAACAAAGGAATTTAAATCCCTTAAATGAATAATGCAGCAGTTGAAAGGCCACTCACACACTAACTTATAATAACCAACAAAAATATGACACATATGTAAGCCAGCCCCAAATGGGGCTAACTTCTATGATCATGTATATGTTGTGAGTACTACAACTTTTATTTTTAATTCATGAATATAACAGAATATGTCACTAGTGTTTTAATCTCATTCATACAGCGGTTACTGACCCAGCCTTATATATCCACTCAACCATGATGTACATTACAAATGAGAAGAAATTTCCCCACTGCTATGTGCATCCACTTCTATAAAAAGTTCACTAAGTCTCTAAAAGTAATCTGCATCACTAAATAGCAGCATGACAGGCAGTGCTCAAAAGCAGATTTTAGACCCAGCCACACAAACTCTTAGTCAATGGCAGTACTCATGAGGGTGATCATTTTACCACTGATATTTCCATTTATATCTCAAAAGGTTTGTCACATTAATAAGAATGGAAATTTCTAAAGAGCAGTATATAGCTTTTATGATCAAACTTTTAGTTTTAACTTACTAAATTCAGACTATTTGGGCAATTAAAATTTACGGCTTTTAATTTCACTTTTGAGGACTTTAAAATGTGGATGCAAGTATATGTATTAATTGGTTTTTGTAAACTAGTTAAAAATCTAAATAGTAGGGAACTTCTTAGCTTGTTGATTGAATTAAAGTTTCCCCTGGTTGCTATTTTATAACAAACTAAATCCTACAGAAAATAGATGTCCATTTTGTAGGAATGGTTGTTTGAAATTTAGAACTAATTTAAAGTATATTTGTAGAAAGATAGACTTACAGACTAGAAATAACACTGAAATATTAATGAGTTTTCTGTGTAGTGAAATTATTTTAGTTTCCTTCTTTACACTTTCCTGTATTTTCTATATTTTTAGCAATAAAAATTGCTGACCTTTATAAATTTTATATAGTGCCTTTTATAAAGTTTCTTTAGAGTATGTTAGGACCTTGTTTTGGAATAGCCACTTGAAACTGAGATTTGTGTATTTTCGAGAGTGTGTCCTCTTCATAGATGTTTTGGGAAAATGTCCTAATTACTTAGTGGCTCCTTTCTCCCTTGTGGAGGTTATAGCAGGTGGAAGAGAACGTATCTAATGAGATCTCAGCGCAGGAGCAAAGAACAAAGACATTTAAAGGAGGACTCTTGCTTCTCCTCTGGAAAGGCGCAGAGAAGGAAAACTCTCAGGTGGTTTCTTCATGTTCGAAAAAAGGAGCTTGGTTCTCACAGTCGCTGTTCAAACGTGTCCCTGTTCAGTGTATGAATTCAACTTTAAAGTTTGAATTTTCTTTGATTTCTCGTTTAAGTGAGATTAATTTCCAGAGAATGCTTTAAGCCAGAAGTGTTCATCCTGTTGTTTTCCAAGTGTGTCATGCAGTGAAAAGCAATGCAGTGGTTCCAAAGAGTGGTTTGAAATCAGACAGAACTGAAATCGCAGCTCAGTCGCTTGCTGAGCAAGAAATCTTAAGCAAGTTTTTTACCTTTTCAAGTGAGTGTCGGTTTTCCTATCCATGAAAAGGGAAAATAGTAATCATATCTCCCTCAAAGGTTACTGTTAGAATTAAATGAGTTAATACAAGAAAGGTGTTAAGTACAACTGTCTGAAAGAGTCAGAGAGAGTGCTCAATAAACAAGGTCTTTGCACCCAGCTGGATCTGTCAAATGAATGTCTACCATTCCACAGCACAAGGGCTCTAAAGTAAATATCAAATTTATCCAAACACAAAATTTAATATATTGTAGACATACATAAGTGATATGATAAAAGCTTCCATTTAATGAATTAAAAATCCTAGGGAACTGCTTATCCACAACTAACCATTATCCATAAACGCAGTGATGGGTTCCGTCATCCAGTCACCCTGGCAGGAAACGTGAAGATGACCGTGCTCTCTTGGCAAGAGTGACGAACAACCCATGAGGCTTTTGATTAAATCAAATTGCCAAATTGTAGAGAGGAAAAGCATGCAGCATAAGGAAAATGGCTATGGAAATAGCAAGGAAAATGGCAGCCTAGTCACATACATCTTGGACTGTCTGGGAAACGGAAGCAAAATACAGCAGGTTACCATGAAATTTGAACTGCTAAGTACTTTACACATATTAAATCAGTCTTATCCTTACCACCCATGAGGTATGTATTCTTATAATCCCCACTTTGCAGACAAGGAAATTGAAGTGTAGAAAGTTAGGTAACTGATGCCAGCATTCACAACATTGCCAGGTGGTGGAGCTTATCATGTATGCTGAATAACTAAAGCTGCAGATGATCAAATCTTTACAAGGATTGTGATTATTCAGAAAACTAATGGAAGATAGCAATATGAAGAAAATAAGTACTCCCCAGAAATTCTTGTCTTTTTTCTATTTTAGCTGAAGAACTCTCAGTGTCCACTTAATTTGCATCTCCACCAGACAGGAGTTACCTTAATGTTAGGGATTACCAGAAAACGGACAGCAAGTAATTAGTCACAGCAGGAAAAGAGAAACAGTTTTCTCTCATTTTCTAGTGTGTAATTATATGTGGATTTGATGAATTTTCTTATATGCTTATATTCTTTCTAAATCCTCTGCCTTATGCATGACACACTGGCTCTCTTAATATAAATCCGTTGCATTCTATATTCATGAGTTGTTCAGAGGAATGGTTTTACACCACTTATGTGCTATAATTCTGCCATCTTTCCCCCAGATATACTGGGTTGGACCAATTATAGGAGCTGTCCTCGCTGGTGGCCTTTATGAGTATGTCTTCTGCCCAGATGTGGAACTCAAATGTCGTTTCAAAGAAGCCTTCAGTAAAGCTGCCCAGCAAACAAAAGGAAGCTACATGGAAGTGGAGGACAACAGGAGTCAGGTAGAAACGGACGACTTGATTCTAAAACCTGGGGTGGTGCACGTGATTGACATTGACCGGGTGGAGGACAAGAAGGGGAAAGACCCATCCGGAGAGGTGCTGTCTTCAGTATGACTAGACGATAGCACTGAAAGCAGGCACGGATCCTTAGAACTGTCCTCAGATTTCCTTCCGCCCATTAAGGAAACCGATTTGTTATGAATTAGACATGCACAGGTTTATAATTTCAAGTCATCTTAACTCCATCTAGACAATAAATATTTAATTATTTTACAAAGGAGGAATGGAAGTAACCTACTGTGAATTCCAAATCTAAAAAAGAAATCTTCTTAAAGAATCCCCAAAGCAAATATGTATCTGAGTTATCTAGGCACCATTCATTAAGAATCTATTTAAAATGTGTATCAAGATCTGGTTAAGCACTGCTTGACAGAACTTAACAGACACACCTATCAGCTTCTTCTTCCTCTACCACATAACTTCCAAACCATGAATCCTCATTTGAGTATTTATTCCATTGTCAAGTTTATCAGTGTAAAAGGACACTATGTCACAGCCGTGCACATTCAAGAGAGGCAATGTAACAAGCTCTGTTACTGGCATCCATTATTTATAAACTATCTCAGCAAAAGAATATTAACAAGGGTCATGGCTAATGAATTGTTTCCATTTGTGTACAAATACCCAATCTTCAACCCCAACTCTAATTCACAATATTCCTTCCTCCTCCTAAGCACCCACAGTAATGGGGAACGAAAGCCCAGAAATTGGAAGAATATAATTTATTACTTCAAGCTAATAAAACATCCAAATCATAAGGGTCACCTATTGAGATTCAAGACACAGACTCAAAAGATCTTATGGGGGTAGGAAAAAGTTACCATCATACAAAAATCACAAGAAAAAGGAAATCTGTATTCTGGTGTCAAATAATTTATCTGTTTTCAGTGCACATCCTCAAAGACACCACAGGAGGTTAACAATCTAAGCTTTTAACCACTTAACCACTGCGCTTTGTTTTTTTAATTTATTAGTAAAACTGGGGGGTTTGTCTGTTTGTAACTTTGTTTATTTATATTTAAACCTTACTTGAGATGTAGTTTTGGTAACAAGAACGTAACTTGTTGAGTCCTGACTTTTTATTGATTATTAAGCTATGTTCACTCTAGAAGCTGTAAAGTAATCCCACCCAGTCCCAATCTTTACTGCTCTGTCACTTCTCTTGATGTCTGTGGATAAACTTCACTGTGTGTGTAATGATACTGTAGTGAATTAAAATGCATGGGAGACAAGAATGTCATGGTGGCAGAATGAAAGGAGGAGGACATCAGAACACTGCATTCATTCAAAGCTGACTACATGAATCTTGCCTTTGTATGTAACCTGCCATATTTTTTTAAGTATTTTCATTTCTGGCTTATTTATTTGTTAAAATACTTTGTTTTTCCAGTAGTGCTCCACCTTAAGGCAATGGAATGGTCTCTGGAAACCCCAGCTTCTATCATCTTAGCCATCTAGTCTAGCCATTATCTTAGACAAAGAGCTACAAATATCAGTTTCATCGAACAAAAGAGAAGTAAAGCAAAAACTTACCACTGCAAAGAGTGGCTTATAAATAGCTGATAATCAAGGGATGTCTTCTCTCCCATACACAGTTCCAACTGTGCCACTTCTTAGTGTTAATGGCAGTTGTGTGTCTGTGGCAGTGAGATAATGGACCACTATTCAACCTGATTCTCTTTGGTGCTAGGCAAGTGGTGCTCTGGATGCCCGGAGTCATCACACCGGGGTAGCACCTGGGAGTGGCCACTGGTGTCCATCACGGCAGGTTCCTCAGTCCCTGGCCCCTTTCCAGAGGTGTGGCCAGCCACAGCCGCCAGGGATGCATGTTGCTTCCCATTTGGGGCAGCAACTATAGGAACTAGACAGTGATTCTAAGAATGGTTTATGCCCATCTTTTCAAATGTCTACACAACATACAACTAAAGACTTCAAATTGGGAATGGTTCAGTTCAAAAGATAATGCTATCAACCATTGGCAAACATGTCAATTCAAAAATAAGGTTAACAAGGAAAAATTTAGCATATTTTCCAAATACAGTTAGAATTTACTGACTTATAATCATTTTTATTCAGCCATATGGCTTACTTCTTATACACTCATTTCCAGTAAAAGCATTCAATAAATTAGTGCTAAAAAAAAAAAGCATGAATGATGCTTTTGTAGTTTGTTCTCCTGCACCTAACAGGGTGCTTGGCGCATAGTAGGTATTCAGAACAATTAAAATATATGAATTTCACTTGGGATTTAAGAATATAAATAAGTTTCTTTTAGTCTTAATTTTGTTCAAGATTTAACACAAGCATGATTTCAAGGACTATGAAGGGAAGGCAATATAAATGTAAAAATCATAAAATATATTTCTGCATTTTACTATTTTAGAGGCATGAAGTGAATGAAAGTTTTAGCACTTTTTTTTCCTGCATATGAGACAACATATTTTGTATTTCACTCAAGGCTCTGCCAGTAAAACGTAATGAAATTGTACCTTTGTAATGACATCTATGCAGCAGGGGTCTATTGCCTTGTGGATGGCACCAAATTATCCAAGTGTATTAGGAGACCAGGGCTTTTTCCTCTAATCCCTTCTTATTAATGAAGTGCATCATGCTGCTCCCAGGAGAGGGCTGCTGACAGATATACAGAAAGGAGATCAGAAAGAAAAAACTGGAAGGACATAAATGAATTATATCCAGCCAGGAAATGATGCCAACCATCTCTTCCCTGTGGAAAAGTACAAGCGTCCCCAAATGGCAAGGTTCCTACACTGGAAATGTATACAGTTTGTTGAAGAAGTACACAAGGTCAGAGTCATTTTTAAGTTTCCAGGGCTGTCTTAAACATCTGGGGATCAGAATTTGAATGTATGTTTTCAGCATTGAAGGTGACCTGTTTCTTCAAAGAGATCTAAATTTTACACTGGAAGGAAATATTTTCTGGTACCTAAATAGTTGCCTTAGATTTAAGATCCCTACCCTTTGTTTCTGCCATTTGATGGTTTTCATAAATTCTTAGACTCCCTGACTCTTTTCCTATGGCACTTACAGGTGCCAGCTAGAGCTGCTGCTCAGTCTCAAAGATTTTATGAGAAAGTAGGAATATTTGAATAACATATGACAGAATTAAGCTATCTGATTCATTATTAGAGTTCTGAATCCAAATAGCATAGAATATTCTCATGAGGCCAGGCAACTCACTCACTGGTTAAAGCTCTATAATGAACAGGAAAATTCCAAAATAGAGCAACAAATTCAAATGCTAAAATTTATCCTGGTGAGGCCCTTTGTGGCGGCCTGTTAGCACTGTCCCCGCATGTGAACATTCGACAGAGCAATTGCCTTTGTGACCCCCTGAAAGGGACAGTAAGAGCTCAGTACACAACTTTATCTAACAATATCCAACAGTTCTCATCAGAAGCCCTGTAGAATGTGCAAATTCCTTACCACAATGGTGTAGTCGGACTTTATAGGCCACCCCAACACAGCAGTAACTTTGAAACCCATAATCCATACATCTCTGAAATACATCGAAAACATTTAATTCAGAACTGAAACACTGTGGTCACTCACTTTCGCAAATGACAATTTGCTGTGAGAACATTTAAACTGGTTTCTGTGCATGTTAAAATCCAGGAGTTTAAAAAAAACTGGTTTATATAATTCATTGGAATATATTTCTAGATTCTCTTCAGGATTAATTAAATAAGCATGCAATTTATGAAAATATATACACAATTCTTGTCACTTTGATGACCTAAATCACAATAAAATTATAACTCATGAAAAACTAATAAGAATAAACTGAACATATGGTTGTAGTCACAATTATTTATTAACTGAAATGTTATTCCAACATTAGAATTAATGTTAAGATTTAAAACTATAATGTCTAATATTTGGAATGCTCTGTTAAGGCATTAGCATTATCTTCGATTTCCATGAATTATGTTGTATCTCATACTAACTTGTGCAAATAAACTTTTTAATGTTTAAAAGTTAGGCATTGTTTTTGATGATGTTAAAAAATCATTCATAGTTTTTGCAAGTTACGTCTTCAGAGAATCTTTCAGAATGATCAGAAGGTTTAGATATTTGAATGTGATCAATGTCCAAAGAAATAGTAGCAGAATCTATATGATAAGATGTATTTTTGGAGAACTTGCTGAGTATATGCTGCGATAGGCCCTTGAGTACACAGTGAAAGCTGTGTCTTGGTGAGCTTAATTCCAAATATCCACATCTACACACAATAGACCACTGAATATCAGCTGTCACTATAGTGAGTCTAAAGTGAAGACTTAAACAATAGTGACTCAAATGAGATGGTATTGCTAAATAGATGATCCATCCTTAGGGCGTTTGGCAGTTTCTACCTGCCCAGATGGATAATGTAGGCCCAATGTGTACTAGTTTATTCCCTCTGGTTCTTGGCTTGGGAAGCTCCTCAATTCTGAGAGGATATAGACCCTCAGGGAAGGATTGAGGACAATCATTCATGTAGTGTGCAGCCCACAGAGGAGCAGTGAATGATGCCCTAGGAGCTGGGTGAATACATACCTCTTACAGCATTTGTCACATTGTACTGAAATCATTTGTGTAGGTGTCTGCTTCCCCTACTAGGTCCTAAATTCCTTAGGGGCTAAGCCTGTGTCTTATTTATTCTTATCCCCCACTCTTAGCATTGAGCATTAGGTTTGACATTCCACTCAATAAATGTGTATTGCATGAATGAATAAAGAACTTAGGAAATATTTTACAATCATTAGGAAAAACTGCAAAGCTCTACACTGCAATCTAGTTATTTTTTGCTGTTGCGTAGATATGTGCTAAATTTTGAATTCTTATAGTCTCAGTTAGAAACCCCAAATTAGCTCAAACATTCAAGAAAAATAAAAGGAAAAATGCACAGAAGGAATGAAGCACTAATCGGATTTCTAAAATTTATACATAATGTGAAGGCAACAAGACATGTTTTCATTGCTCTATTTATACAATGGCCAGATGTTAGGTGAAATTTAGCTCAATGAGTATTTCAGCAAGAAAAGTATTTTAACAAGCATGGAAAGCTAGAGATATAAATGTCAGCCTGATTTTAGATTATTATCCTGCTTGGAAAGTATCCAAAACAATATGTCACCTGAATTAATTCTTACTATTTTTTCATTTTCTACCTCTACACTCCTCAGGTTTAAGGAGACATTGAGGACCATAAAAAGCTGAGTTAAGTTCTGCTACCTCCACATACTCGAAAGTCTTTGAGAAACCAAGACATTGATTTTTTGCAACCTGTGTGCATGGCACAGTGATCGCACATTGGCTAGTGCTTTGCTCACAAAGCCAGGGTGATCAGATGGATGGATGGATGGATGGGCTGGTGGGTGGATGGATGGACAAGAAACACTCCTATCTGGAGGCATTTAACTAATCTGTGAACAGATGAAAATCATAGCTTGTATTCCTTTTTCCCTAAATGAAACAATTGTCCAAGGATCAGAATGGCAGAAAAGGAATGCATGGATTAGAATAATCATTATTTATGAAAGTTATGAATATATATATATATATATATACATACACATATATATATATGGCTTTAGAATTTATAATCATTTTTAATCATTTAAACTTCAAATCACATGGTGGGGTAAACATTACTATCATTTTCATTTCCAAATATGAAGAAACCAAGTGTCAATGATATTAATAAGTAAACTACCCAAAATTATATCTGGTGGTAAAGAAAAACTGGAACCCACAACCCAATTAATCCCAATTTCCTATTATTCCCCTAAATCACACAAAGTTCTCCCATTCCCCTAGCAGTCTAATTTCCCATCAGCCATGTTTGTAAGTAGCACAAAATATATTCTATCCATACTAGAGGAAACTTTTATGTATACCAACAAGGGGCAATAAATTAAGTACTACTACAGACCTTGAGTATTATTGACCTTAGAGGATGTTTCAAATAAGAGAATAGTGTTGACTATTACAATGGGTTTATTTGGGTACTTTGGATAATTTAGGTAATATTTTTTAATTGAGTTTTTCCTTATAAAAATATCATAAGGACCACAATTTAAGATATTTTTTCATTTGGTCCAGAAAAGAGTTGAGGATTAATTGCAAAGGCACTGATAAGGTCTTCCACGTTTCAATAATAATAATAACAATAGTTTTCAATTGTTGAACACTTACTTACACCAGACATACTTTACACTTGTGTACTCATTCCTCATAGAAACCTTATGAGACAGATATGGCTATTATCCCCATTTTATACGTAAGGAAACTGGGGTCTAAGGGGGGAAAGTAACTTGTTCAAAGTCAATCAGCTGCTCAGTGGTAAATGTGGGATCTGAATCCAGGCAGTCTGTCCATAGACTCTACTCTTTGGCACTGGCCTGAATTTTCTCTTACTGTAGGCTTGTTTTATTAGGGTACTGTAGGCTTGTAATGTTCTGACTTCCATATGTGCTTTTTCCAAGCCTTTGACTTTTCATATCCAATCAAGATTGTAGTGTGTTTGAACTTCTCAGTTGTTTCCAACTTAACCTCTGATTATCATTTTGACCACCTCTGAAGGAAGATTTAAATATTTACATACAAGTGCCACGAAGATAAGTCAGCTAAACTTATAAATTATTTTTGAAAGAGACTTTGAAGGACCAAGAAAACTCTTTCTTTAGTGAGCAATGGAATGACAGAAACTTCTTATATAATTTACCTTCCACTCTTTAGCTCAAATTTCCTGGTTGGTCTTTAATTTACCTAATTTGACAATTTCTCTTGGCCCTCCATTGAGGCAAGTTATGTGGATTTTAATTCTTCTTGACCCATTAATCACTTAATTGATGTAGATACCTGAGTACAGTTTTGTTCAAGGTGCTGTGGAAAATTCTGATGTTACATTTAAGTGCTTATTCATTTTATTTATTCATTAAAATAAAATTTTAATAAGGGATCAATAAAATGGTGATTGGCAATAGTCTGAGCTGGTGTATAATTTACCCTAGATCAGCCTAATAAGTTTAAAGACTGTATTTTTTAGCAATAAAATAAAACGAAGGCATTTTTGAGGGGGCCAAGTTATAGCGTTGTTATGGCAACAGCACTGGGAAATAATTGAATAGAATGACCACTGCTTTCCCTTTCTTTCAATGGTAAGCAGAGAAAGATTTGCATTTATAAAATAGAACTAAACACACTTAATACCTTCCTATGGCCACACTACAGGATTATGATTAGGTCCCCAAATAATCTGGCTCTGACACCCAGAAGACAAAAATCTTTAAAAATGTAGAAATGTACAACCAACGACTCTGAGAATTATTTAAACGGTGGGCCCCAGAGGGGAAGCAAAGAACTCTGGGAGCAGCAGGGTAAGATTCCAGGGGCTCCTAGTGGTCCTGTCCCCAGCCAGAGCCAGAGGTGCTAAGGCAGCTGGGTGCCCTGGGCAGCGAAGAGTCCCTGTGTGAGTCAGCGGATTCTTGGCATCTGATAACGTGACTAATGCCCCCAAGAAAGCTGGACTACGCACTGTCTTAACTTAAGCCCTCTTTCCAATTTTCATTGCCAAAATGTTAGGCTAAAGGGAAGTAGACTCTCCCGCAGAATAAAAAGACTTGCCAATTCTTGATTTTCAGCAACATATACTGGATGACAGTGAGATCTCCCCATTTCTCTTAAGAAATCTAATCTAAAAGAAAAGTTATGAGCCTAATTCTCAGCACATGGCGCCTGGTACTGATTCTGCATGTCAAGCTACTCCAGGATTTCAATGTCAAAACTTATCACAAAGATAAGTTTTATCTTGTTTCAAAAGCTGATCCTATGAAAACAAGAACAGAAGAACTAAAGAATGAAGGCAGCTGGGATTTCTCTAGCAACCTTCAGTAAGGAAGAGTTGAGAAACGCTGACCTAGATTATTCAGCCCTGTGGTGTTGGTACATTGTAGTTAAATCATTCATATTCTTTGAACTCTAATAAAACATCCTCATCAAACAATGATGACATTTTCATCTCATCAAAGTTTAATCACAAGAGTGTTGTAATTCTGATTTTCTTCCCCTCGGTTCAAATTGAAAGTAATTGTCAGGTGTCATTTTAGTTCAAACCATTACATCCCTGCCTACACGCCCTCCTTCACATTATCACGGCCCATTTTGTTCTCTAAGAGACATGTGATTTTTTCTATTATTCAAGCAGTTTTAAAAGAATTTTGTCACCTCCTTACAAATAATACACTAAAGGCTCATTTTAAAAACATTTGAGATAGCAAATTAACATAAATAGAAAATGTTTCCTAGGAACACCGAGACAGGAGGGGCAATAAATTCTAACTATGGAATTAGTTAATGTTGGAAAACACTTAATTGCTCAAATTTTTGATTGATTCAGAAAAATTTTTTTAAGCAGTCTCCAATTTGGACTTAAAATGCACGATAGAAGAAAGATAAATACAAGCGTAGTTAATTTTCTTCCAGTGGC